TTACACTTAAGTATGGTGACTTGGTATAAAAAATAAAGTATATTTAGACTTGAAACAGTTTTATTTAACCATTTTGAGTTAACCTTACACGTTTTACTTTAGTGTGATCGGATTTAGAGGATAATTTCTACTAGATAGTCCGATCCTGAGATGGGAGATTTTGAACATTAGAGAGGCTGTGCACGAAATAAATAAAAACCGACAAATAAATGGTGATTTTTTAAATTTGTATGAAGAATTGAGATTGTACCCTAGAAAATTCTTTCAGTATACTCGAATGTCCATGTCAACATTTGATTACGTCCTGAGTAAAATATCATCTAAAATCACTAGAGAAGATACAAATTTTTTAACAAAAAAAAATGCAGACGCTCTTACGCCGAGCGATAAGACCGAACTGGATTGATACCCCCGCATCCGCGCATTGGGTCGCTTGCTGACTAGGCCTGTAGTGTGGCCACAACGCGCGAATATGAATGTTTGAAAACTACGCGCGCTATCTCGCTCATGCCCGTCGCGCTAGGCGTCCGCCTTAGTCACTACACTGTGTACGCAAACGGCGGTTTCATATTATGTTTGACAATAATTCGCGCCCGTCGTCGCAACTGCGCTAGGCTCGCACTGTGGACGAGGGCTATAAGTAGTAGGAATACAAAGACGATCGAAAGAAAATGAAACGAGACCCGCGTAATTTGGTCAAGCGCCGCGTTTGTGTCGCGGTCACGGTCTGCGGGAGTGTGACGTCATAGTGGGAGCGCGCGTAGTCTCTGAAATTCAAAAAGGGCTTGTCGTAAAACTTCGGAAATACTGTATGTATTGAAGTGAAATAAAAACTAATGTAATGTGATCTTTGCTACGATTTTAATAGTATTTGGTAGTAATATTTAGACCCTTTTGTGTTCCCCATTGAAATTAAGGGAAAGTCACTAACACATACCCATAAAAAATACCAATGCCTTATTATTAAACTAAATAAGTTTAAAATAATAAAAATATTAGGACACGAAAAAGGAATATCAGTTTCTTTTCATTAATTACAACAGTATCAATCTATAGGATAGAATAGCAATCAGATATTATTTTCAAGTACATTTTTAAAATATGAATCTACATAAACCTGCGGGATAACACGTTTTATTATTAGGTCTTTTATCTTTGCCTCAGATAGTGGTATTTTTTTGTGTATAGGCTTGTGTGAGGCCCGTAAAAGCTACCTGATCATCTTTGTTTCGGCGTTTCCGCACAAACACCTTTTTATAATTTTCATCTGAAAATGACGTTTTATAAAAGAATACACCCGGGTTCTACTTTTCCACTCTAGACTCTTTAAGATCTTATTATCATGCCGTTTTACTTGCTTGCGATCTTCATCTACATTGAAATTATTTCCCCACTCTTCTTGCAAAATTTTAGTGTCATAAAACTTGTCAAATGTCATCTATTCAAGTTGGTAAGGGCTGCCCGACTTTTTTGCTGTACGAATCAATGTGCAATACTGTTGCAGGGTGTATATCGGACCAGACTTAATATGCCTTTTTATTTGTCTTTCAATGACACTGTGAACATCGTCACCCTCATTTTGAGAATGACCATGTATAAGGAAATTATGTGTGATCGATGTAACCCTTTTAGTGACAACAGCATAAGCATAAGCAGAAAGTAAATATTTATTTTTTTGCTGTCCACAGCAATTGTCTGAATAAAAGACAATATCGATATCTTTATCGGGATGTTTTTCTAATAACGAGTCAATATATTTCAGAACACATAAGCCTATTTCTACAGCGCCCCTTTTCCCTTCCGTCTCATCCCAAAAATAGCATGTTACGTCTTTTGCCCTCAAATCACTTATTGTATAGGTAAAGCAATTAATTCTAGATTTATAGAAAAATAGTGAGACTTGACCCTTTGGAACTTGCATAACAGATTGTAAATCGTATACAGCGACAATCTCTCCGTCATTTCTGTTCTTGTCTTTTTCTTAGTGATCTCTTGCTAACTTTTTTTCTTAAAGATGTTGTCCATAACTCTCTTGTATTTTCAATTTCTCTTCTTCATTGGCGTTTTTAAAGCTTTCACAAAGGTCACAAAGATTCATTGAGATTGTCACAAAAAGAAAGAAATATTACTTTCCGTATTGAATATCCGGTTAAAAGTTGACTTCGTGGCGAATGATAACTGTTTGTTGTAACGAGTTTCTTTATAATCGCGATAAAGGTCGGCAAGAGATTTGTCACTGCAAATTAACTCGCGATGTTTGCGCCCTCAAGAATGAGACTCAATCCTTGGTATACTATTAATAAATTCCACAACACTGTCCTTAATTCCTGCATCAATCTTTGGTTGTTTACCGTGTTTCCTTCTAAAATCATTGGCTACAATACCAGAATTATTTTTCTTAGAGAGTGCAGTAGTTATAGCCGTATTAGTAGCTTTAAAGAAAGTCTTACATACTCTGATTTTATTCACAGCAATTTCGAAATAAAATGTTATATTAAGTTCTATATAGTCCTGTGTGCTAGAATACCTGTACTTTGGTTTTATTTCTTGAGTATGTCTGACTATATACTCCCTTTACCTTTGAAGATCAGCAAGGCTCCAATAAGCGTCAAATATGTTGTGTCTTTTTTCTTCGTTAATCTTTACTATGTAGTCTGCATTTTTCGCCGCAAGTAGTGCGAACCTTCCTTTCGGAAACGGTTTTTTTGTTTTTGACAAAGATTGTTAGGCCTTATCCGAATTCCTCAGAACTTTACAAATATTAGCTTTCCATGACGATTCTCTTTTTAGCCTCTTTTTTTCCTCTCTTTACTTCTTCAACATGCTGGTCATTTCAATCTTCATTGACAACACTTTGACTTTGAGTTAGTGTGTCACTATCAAGAATAGCCCTGGTTTTAGTTTCAGTTTCAGAATCAGAAATACTGCTAGATTTTGTAGATGAGCTACTTGAAGAAGACAAAGAGGACTTTAAGGGGCAGTTTCTTCTTTTTTGCCGGACATAGCTTGGATCAGTATCAGAGTCATCTATTAATTTTTCTTCACTTGGCGAAACAAAAAGATCATTTTCAATTTGCTAATATGGTTTGTCTAGTAGGGCAGTATTTAAAGGACTATTTTCTTTATTATTTTGTCTTTCTTCACTAATAGGCATTGCAAACTCTTGTTCATTATTTGTTAAAAGTTTTTCTTTACAATGTTCTTTAATAATATTAACAAGAAAACGGCCCGACTCATTTTTCTCTGAAAATAAATAAAGTTGCTATTGTAAGTTTTAAAATTCAAACAATAGTGATTCAACTCAAAAATTCTTTAAAAACAGTGCGGTAGATAATTTGATGCAAAATTATATATTTTTGAAACAGGGATCATAACACTGTAAACAATGATTTTAGCGAGACTTTATAATATCAAGTTTTGTATAGAAAAACATTAAAATAAATTTATTTCAATAAAAGCAGATTACTAAAAATTTACACGTTGACCCTTCAATACAAGATTAAGTCAAAATAAACACAAAATGATGTAGTACCTTATCAAGCAAAACTGGAACAAATCAAAATATTCCGAAGTAATATGGCAGAGCAATTCACCAATACTGTAACAACTCAAATAAACTTGCATATATTTTTCATCAAAATCGTAATAACTCAACATATCCTCGTTTTCGTTTACGTAAATGCGTGCACTCACTAGAACTAACGAAGGCCAACTGACAATACACTTGTTTACTTGGGAGCGACCTGACATGCATTGGTTCAACAGAACAAAGCTAACGCCGTCTATCGGCGACAAATTTAAGTTTTTCTTGAACCTGTTATGCTGGATAGTTGCGTATGATCACTAAGCATTCGAATATAAGGATATGTCAAAATAAGCGATTTTTTACTTATCTCAGTTTAGATCTAAGTGTGCGATATATTAAATAAAACACTTTCAAAAAATAAGTTCTTTTAATTTAACGCTCCAAAGGTTAAGAGTTCCATGTTAAAGGAAATAATGGATTTGATTAATACACTGTTTATTATATTCATAACAATAATTTAAATAAAATAGAAAAAGTAATTAAATTAATAGTAACTAAAATAAAGGTAGTATAATAAAGTTAAATAAAAATGAAAAAAGTAAATTAAGAAATCTATTTAATATCTTTTGCCTAATCTATATCATAATTTTTTTGGCAATAAGAGGTAACATATAAGTGAAATAAAATTCTGTTGTCGTAGGGATTATAACATTGTTAATAATATTGTCATTCCTGTGCACCACAATTTTTTTTTCATCACAATTAGTCCATATGAAAAATCGCAAACTGACTTCCTGCTGACAAGTAGGTAGTATTATTAAAAGTAATATAAGTAAAGGTTTGTATCTGATGAAAATAATGACTGTTCTCATTAAGGTGCAGCTTGTTATTACTGATAAATATGTGTGTATAATTTTTAGGTTCTATCAAATCATTTTTTATTGAATAGGGACATTTTACTTCTAGTACTGTATTGTTATCTATTATTCCATCTGGGGATGCCCCAATGAAGGGGTGTTCACAAGAAATAATTAAACCGCTATGTGTCACAATTTTCCCCGACATGGCCTCATAACGAGAAGATGGCTGGGTGCTACCATTTGCTTGGGATCCTATAATTAATAAACTTAAATTCCAACCCAACCAATGCATGTAAGTCCATACTGCGTAGAACGGAACAAAAATTAATAATTTTAATCTGGAGATACCCGTGGTTAACCCTAGATTCATAAACATATATAGGAATAACACTATTAATAAACATTCGTCTCACAGACGAACATGTTCAGGTATGGTTATTTATGAAATTTTTAATGAAAGAAAACAAATAGATAATTGTATTATTTAACTTCTTTATTGAGTTATTTAAAACTTATGTGATAAAACAGAAACATATTATTCTGAACATTCCAGACACATCAGGCCACGGTGGTCCATACACATGAATTTTTACAGTGGTTACATTGGAACCTCGTCATTCGACGCTTTTTGTAATCACAAAAGCTTTTTGGGTTCTACTTGGACCAGGCGTATCGCTGATAGGCGTTTCATTCAAAACTTCTGCTATCTTCCTTTTTAGGCATCTCCTCAAAGTTGGCATTTCACGACGCTTACGTAACCACGGTTCGGTCATTTTCACTGAAACATCTTTCGTGAAACATCGTCTGCTTGCTGGTTTTTTACCTTGTTTTACATTATTATGTACGTAAATAACATAAGAATTTATGATTGCCATATTGAGCATGCCATAGAAGTAGCACAGTGGCCATCTTTGCGTCTTTCTGCTACAAGACATACCACTACACATTTGATCGAAGGTATCTACGGCGCCTTTAGTCGAATTGTAGAACTCAATAATGTCTGGTTTACCAGAAGGTGCAATAGTACCATTGCCATGAGTGGTAGAAAGCAAGAGAACGTTCTTGTTATGTTTAGGCTTATAAGATACTATCGTGCTTTGTTTATCATAGCAGAACATAGACGAACCTATTAGTCTTTCTTTGATATCAAGTATTGCAGGTGGTATTTCACGTTTGTTTGCTCGAAGGGTTCCTACTATTGTAAGTTTATATGGTTCCTTTAGTAACTGATGAGCCAAAGGGACAGACGTGAACCAATTGTCCATGGTTACATTACGATTACTGCCCCACAAAGTTTCAGACAAAGTTTTTACATAATAAGATCCGAGTAAATCACCATTTGTTTCAACTTTTCCAACATACGGCATTGCATTTATCATATATTTAGTTTTAGCATCGCATAGAATCAGGATTTTTAGGCCATATTTATTAGGTTTTGACGGAATGTACATTCTAAAAGGGCAACGTCCTCTAAAACCTAGTAGTTGCTCATCTATTGTAACATAAGTTCCAGCTTTATAGCTGTCCCTGCATGATTGAATGAAAACTTCCCACAGGTCTCTGATGGGCGCGAATTTATCTTGTGCTTTACGTTCATCTCTTGTTGACTTTCGTCAAATCTCAAGCAGTTCAACAAAAAATCAAATCTGTCCCGTGACATTACCGATATGTATCGGGTTCCACTAAATTTAGGATCAAATAGTTCCAAGCTGGTGAGATGATTGTCTTTTTTCGCAGCTGACAGCAGAAGCAATCCTAACAAAGCTGTCAATTCTTCTTCGCATGTTGATGAAATTGTTGCGGTTTGCTCTTTATATTTTGAACTTCTCAATACAATTTCTTCGTTTGTATGTCCAACTATATTACGTATCATATCAGCCGTCATAAAAATAGAAAAGCAATCAATTGGTTCCATCATATTCTTCGCGTTATTTGTCGGTCCTTGAATCACATGTACGATATTTCTAGCCTGGGTTGTATTCGCAGATTGAAAAGGAATTGAAGACTATTTATGACCATTTTTTCCTCTAAGATTGCGAGCAGATGGAATAACTATACGTTGTGATGAAGCGGAGTTACCTGACGTACCTGGGCTTTCTTCAGCTTTCGAATCAGAAGATAAGATGACACCGCTTCGCCGCTGCTGTCGTAAACCGATCAGTTGTTCATCATCTTGAATTTCATTGCCGTCTGAATCTGTCGGGATCTCTTCTTCAATATCGACGTGATCCTCGATGTCGCTCAAGCCCGCGTCTTCTCGCTGAGTCGAGGTATCAGATCTCTGTCAGAATCGGATAAACAATTCAAATAATGCTCTATTTGCCGATCTTGAGCATCCATTTCTAAAATAAAATAAAATGATTTAAAGAATAAATGCGGATGTTTACATGTAAATACACACGATGTTACTAAATAAAATGTACTTAAATAATTGTGACTAATTAAAAATATTATCACAAACTTACCGTCTACTTCATCAAACTAGAAATCTTCAAAACTCGTATTTCAAAATTTGCAACCGTATTCGTCAAACGTGTATCTATTCATAAATATTCGTCCCTCAGACGAATAAAACTCTCTAACCGCTCAAGGACACGTCACTGCGAGTAAAATGCACTCGCAATACTAATGGTCGCATGACTTAAGAAGGTACTTGAGAGGTCAGCTTTCTATCTCTTTTACTCTAAAAATTTTAATCGTTTTTACGTTTCGCGCGGTCTGTGAGACGAATGTTTATGAATCTAGGGTTAACTATGACATTGGGACGTCAAACACCTCAGTACCCCCCGTGACAATGGGTGCTGTAAAGTACTCGAAACGTCGGGAATATAAAATAAATTATTATACACGATAAAATCCGTAAAACTAGTTTTATTTAAATGTCAAAATGGAGCTGAACCTGTTATACGACATATTTATTCTGTGCATAAGAGGATTAAAGTAAAGCACGTCTAATTTCCAGTAGTGCTCGATTGAGATCTATGTAGGTTATTACTCCAAAAAATGTTTTCAATTCTTCTTTAGTGACGTCTTTCCATCTCTTCATTCGGCTAAATTGTGCAGTACGTAATTCTTTCAACAATCGAGCGTAATTATTGGTATAGTACACGGCAATTAACTTGGCAAGGTTTTCGCGTAGTGGGGTAAAGTTTGCACATGTACACTTCACTTTTGTGCAATCAAAATTGTCGCTGTTACTTTCATAATATATTTTTTTTTGATGAAAGTTAAGAAGAGTTCATGAAATATAGGAGTCGTAATAAATAAAATACAAACAATTATTATAATATCAACTCAAGAAATTTATTATAAAATCAAATATTGTCATTAAAATATTATGAGGCGTCGTCGTCACTATTAGCACACAAAACTGCGATGCGATGCGATGAGAATTCGCAACGCAGAAAATTGCGACACGAATTGCTGCGATGCGATTTCGTGCCCCAAGGACCCTTACACGATTAGGGTGACCATTCCCTCGACGACCGTCAACTGTACTGAACGTATTTTGAAAACTAGGTTGTGACATGAATCGTTAAAAGAAGTGTGCCCTTTTGTTATTGCTAAAGAGATACATAAAAAAGAAACAAAGAAGACTTTGGGTTCATCCATTTATTATTATTATGAATGCCGATGGGAACTATTTTAATCTAAAATATGAAGCTTTGAAAACCGATGAAAAAATGTTTTGGATTATTTTAGAATGATATATCTTCATTGCAAGAGCATTTAAGTTTATTATCACCATATCTTCAGAAACGATCGTACAAGGGGAGAGTTTCTGTTATGCTTCTGGAAATGATTGGCCTCACTATCCGGTAAGTAAAGTAAAACAATAATTGTTTACATTAGTTTTTATTGACAAAAGAGTTTTCCAAATATTACAATCGATAAAATTTTAAAATTTACGAAAAATCTAAGTCTTCTACCGTTGAAAGTGTGCTTAATATGCTTGAGTTAGAAAAATCATTACTAGGTGAATCAATTTGATCTGGTATGTTAGATGAATGTGGACGTATCAGCGGCGTTTGTTGAGATGTTGCAAAATGTTGAGTTTGATAGCCACCCTGGTAGTTGCTATTCGGATAGTAGTAGCCACGAGGTTGATGCAATTCTGTTAAAATTTAAGAACTCTGCTTTGAGAGATTAGTGTTTTATTGTCATCTAGTCTTTCAAGTGATGGAGTGATGAATACCTTCAAAAAAAGATATGTGTCTATTCTCCGGTACCTTTAAAATCTTTCTAACACCATACAAAATGATTACTAACCATCTTTCTTTTTCGTGGCTGCTTTAGGTAACGTTTTTCAGATGTAACTTCTTGATTACCTTGCTCACTTTTGTTTCATTCATACTGGTAGTGGTCTCATATTGTAAATTTTTCTTAAGAAATTGTAATTGTTTGTATAGATGGTATTCTTTAATATTTTTTGGTCTAGACCCTTCCCTAACTGTATTGGAGCCGTTGATGGGAAACATATTCATAGTCGTAGTCCCCCAAACACAGGATCATTTTTTTTTAATTACAATGCCTACAATTCTATAGTTTTGTTGGCTATTGTTGACTCGGAATACAGATTCATCTATGTGGACATAGGAGCATATGGAAAGGAAAGCGACTCCACTATTTTCCACAACACGAAATTGTGCGACTTACTGATGAGAGGAGATTCGCCTACACCAATATCGAGGCCGTTACCGGGCTTTCAAGAACCGGTTCCATTTGTTTTTGTCGGGCAAGAAGCTTTTTCTATTTCGAATAATGTCGTGCGTCAAGATCTGTCGAGTGTACTTTCGGCATACTGGCCAATAAGTGGCGAATATTTCACTGGCCCATTAACGTCTCATATGATTTTGCAATAGACATTGTCAAGGCTTGTCTCATATTAAATAACTTTGTACTTAACCGTGATAGATTAGAAACCCCTGTTGAAATGGTCATAGATGATTCCGATCTACTACCACTCCAACAACGTTTGAATGTAGGTAGTGAGGTAGTAAGTGCAAATATAAAAAGAAAAGAATATTCGCATTACTTTACTAGTGAAGTTGGGGCATTAAGCTGGCAACTACAAAAAAATTGAGAATATACAATGCCGCTTGCATTGTTGCTCGCTTTCTAACCGAAGTAATAAGTGAATAGAACAGGTACAAAAGTATCACACCGCAAAGAAAAAAAAGTGACTCGCTCTCGATGCGACAATATTTGTAAACAATTTAAAGAATATTTTTTGTGATTTATTACAAATTCTATACATATAGAATTTGTAATAAATGTATTTGTCTACTTACCAAGTTTAGTTTTTTAATTGTTTTCTTTTTCTTAGAAATTTGGTATTTGGTTTGATGACTCGGAATATATTTGTGAGGATGAGGCAGTGCTCGGTTCAGTAATCGAACATACAGGAGTAGAAGTCTGGTAGCTACCCTGAAAAGTATAATCGTATCGCCGAGTTGAATATCCTTGATTATAGCCCTGATGTTGATATTCTTGAGTATAGCTGTGAGATGTGTATTGCTGAATAGAAGGCCGAAGAATGTCCGTATATGTTCCATCTGCAGCCTTTTTGATAGAATTCTACATGGTTGTGGGATGTTTAAATATTTTTCGATGGAGTCTCAAATGGTTTCAGGTTCTAAATCTAAGTTAGCGATGCAAAAATCTTTTAATTTATGCAGCCTTTCTAGCATATCTGCCGTAAAATTCCATCGAATAGGCGTATCTATCACTGGATTTTGCTGTTTGAGTTGTTTTAAACGCATTGCTATAGTTAGCGTACGTAAGCTACGTACAAGTTTTCCAAGAAACTCCTCCATTTCTTGGCAGGCATTCTTGATGGACATCTGCAAGCAGTGCTCGGTGCATTGTTTGCTTGTAACAGTTCGCAACAACACTTCAGACGTGCTATTTGTGCTGGTATCTGACTCTAAACTATGTGCTATAAAAGATAGATCTTCCTCGTTACAGTTACTGACAGTTTCGATATCTAATTCATCAAACGTCTCATTTACTGACTGATTTAATGAATCCTGGCTGCCTCGTTTATTTGATTAGTCATACTTAGTATATTTGTTGTCAGTAGTAATCGTAGGTATTTGGTTTAGCTCTATCACATATCTACTAAGAATAAAAACTAGATTTTCTTTGAAATACTGCCCTGTATTTCTATCGAATAATTCTACTAATCTCAAATTTCTAAGGGCGGTTTTCACATCTGTGAGAATAGATGTATTAAAATGTTACGTAAATAGATAATACTTAGATT